CAAGCAAGTCTCCTGCCTCAGCCTCCCAAGTAGCTGGGACTACAGGCGCCCGCCACAGCGCTGGTCATTTTTTGGTTGCAGCCATCATTGTTGTTTGGCGGTCCGGGCTGGGGATTCGAACCCGCCACCTTAGGTGTATGTAGCTGGCGCCTTAGCCGATTGAGCCACAGGCGCCGAGTCTATTTTTGTTAATTTTATAATGTTAAACTTTAATAATAACAAATAATTGTTGAGAACTGATTATCAAGAACTGCTTATCAAAGTTTGCCTTGTTGTCAGTTCCCGCCCTACCCCCGCCAATGGTGTCCCACTTTACCAATGTTAAAATCTGGTCACCTTAGCTTAAGCCCAAGTGTTTGAGGTTGCTGTGACCTGTGATGCCATGACACTCTACCGAGGGTGACAGCTTGAGACTCTGTCTCCAAAAAAAAAGAAAGAAAAAAGCATATATGTGGCTGAGCAGGCACGGTGGCTCACACCTGTAACTGTCCCACTCTGGGAGGCCAAGGCAGGTGGATCCCTTAAGTTCAGGAGTTTGAGACCATCCTGAGCAAAAGCGAGACCCCATCTCTATTAAAAATAGAAAAAATTAACCAGGCATCATGGCTGGTGTCTGTAGTACCAACTACCAGGGAGACTGAGACAAGAGGATCTCTTGAGCCAAGAGTTTGAGGTTGCTATGAGCCATCATGATGCCATGACATTCTACCCAGGTGACAGAGTGAGATTCTGCCTCTAAAACAAACCAAAGAAAGGACAGCGCCTGTGGTTCAAAAGGGTAGGGTGTGGGTCCCATATGCCAGAGGTGACAGGTTCAAATCCAGCCCCGGCTGGGAAAAAAAAAACCCCACATACAAGCATTTGTATATGCAGCAGGAAAGAAAGGGCACAAATTGAGGCTAACAGGTAAGAGACCAGGTAGGACCCCATAGGACATAACGAGGAGTTTGGTTTTATTTATTTATTTTTCAGTTTTTGGCTCGGGCTGGGTTTGAACCCGCCACCTCTGGCATATGGGGCCGGCATCCAACTCCTTTGAGCCACAGGTGCCCCTCAGTTTGGTTTTATTTTATATGTACTAGGAGAACAACAGAAGGGATTTAAACAATTGAGTTCTGTAATTCAGGTTACATTTTTTACCCCCTTTCGAGTGAGATGTAGGGATAATGAATGAGAGGGGGCTGAGAACAGAGGAAACAGTCTACTTAGAAAGCTAGTATGTTGTATAGTCAAGGTGACAAAAACAAAATGACAGCAACTTGGACTAGTGTAGTGGCCATGAGAATGGCAAAAAGGAAATCCCGTGAGCCCTGCTCATGTCCCCTCTTTACCTGAGCTGGGTAGAAGGCAGAGGGCAGCAGAGAGAGCCAGGACCAGGCCAGGCGGTGATTGAGTTGGCAGCTGGACAGGTGGGAGGATTCTGGGAGGGGCAGAAGAGCCTTAGGGTTAAAAGAGGCCCAGGCCCTGTGCAATCCTTCCTCTTTCAAGGTAGCCAGAGTAGGGAAAGAGTAGGGAGTCTGCAGCCGAGCATACTGTTAGGAGGGAAGAAAAATTAGACTGTTAAGTCCCCTGTGTCCCAGGTGTCCAGTGTATTAGCTCTGCCACTCATCTTTCCCCCACAGACTCATACCTTCTGGAGGGGACAGTGATGCAGCTCTTCAAAGATCTCATTATGTGCTTTCCGAATGGGGCTGCCTGCTGGAGCTAGAACATCCAAGGTAGGACCCAGGAGTTGTAGTCCTAGGCTGGGGTTCCCAGGAGGGGAACACTGCAGGAACTGGTGGTGTCTCAGCACATGGGGGCATAGCCTTGGCCAGGGAAAAAAGTAGTCATTCTTCCAAGACTAGTCTCTTTAAGGATCCTGCTTCCCCTGCAGAGGAAGTGTCCTATTCTCACCACCTCCCCAACCCAGACCTTCATCCTCCTCACTTGCAAGCCAGCTCTTCCAGGGTCTTGGTCGCCCACAGGTAGAGGGGAAGTCCTAACTGATATTCCCATACCAGCTGGTCATACAGGGACGCCCCATAGGCTTGGTGGGATGACTGAGTTTCAGGCTTCTGACAAGAGAAGTTCCGAAGAAGAACAGCACCACGGAGGCAGGGAGCTAGCACTGGCCTTTTTGTCCCTCCACCCACTGACTGAAGAAGGTGAACATCCTGGAGCTGGGAAAGCAGGATAAATGAGCCCATTGCCTGGGTTCCAAGGGGAAGAAACACAATCTCTCCTACACTGGCTGGCCTCAACTTACAACACGCTCATGCCCCGGTGGTCAGCCTTCTTCTCCCACAAGCCCCACTCAGTCTGCCTTGGGCCAGGTGGCTCTTGGCTAGACAGGTAAGGCTCAGGGTTCTTACCAGGCTGCGTCAGATCATTTGGGCCGTACTAGCTTCAGCCACTGCCTTCCAGAAAGCTGGAAGGGCTTTCTGTAGAGGAAATGCTCTGTCCTCAACCAGTCCTCATGGTGCCCATGATTCTACAACTCCTTTCCAATTTGAGCTTTTGTCCAAATCATTCTTTACAAGAGCACACCCCCTGACCACCCACACACTTTTTATTTGTATATTTTTGTTTTGGAAGTCCCCGCCCTACCACAGAAAAAGCCAAGTTCATGAGGGTAAGCAAAGCTGCAGAGAGGGGCTCTTTAGGTCACCAGCCCTGACCTCTCACATACCTCCAGACAGACCCCTGATCGCATCACCCTCCTAAGGTCATGGAACTGCTGGTAGGCAAGGCAGAGCTCCAGCTGCTTGTCCAGCTCATAGAGGCCAGCAGGCTCATTCAACACTCCAGTGACTGTTCCCTGCAAAGAGGTCAGAGGTCCAGTTGGTCTCTACTTCCTTCCTCTTTGGAGACCCACATTTCCTGCCCCCCGGGCTGTAGGATCTCTTCTTGTGCTCACCGAATATGATAAGAGTCTGGAGTCCCGGACAAGACCTCTTTGTCCCTTCCTGTCCCCTTCCTGGGAGTTGCTGGGTGTGGGAAGTAGCTTGGGGGAAGCCTCTAGAAGGGGTCCTTCCAGGTCCAGTTCTAGCTCACGTATACATTCTGGTTTCAGCAGCAACAGACGGGAGGAGGGACTGGTCATCCAAACATGGTAACGGTGACCACGGATCTTGGATACTCGCAGTTCTGTCAGCACATAGGCTCTACCAGGCCAAAGGGCTCGGTGCCACACCAGCTGAGCAGGGACCTGGCTTGTGAGGAGACAGGCAAAATGGGACATGAGACATCTCTCCCAATGCTGTCCTCTGCTAAAGTCTCTTTACATTACAATTTGACCTCAAAGACCTGCTCCCCATGAGTTTTCTCTAATTTCTTCATCTTCTGTATGTTTGTCAATTAAATCTTAGGCCACAGAACTTTCAGGATTTCTCCTTTCTCATAGGAGATGCTAAATATTTACTAATCCCTTCCCCAAGATACAAACCATCCCTAAAACTTCCTTCAAAATACATAAATATTTCATTGAGAAAAGTATGCCCTGTTCAGCATTTCCCCTATCCCACACTGTAATATACAAACATTTCTTTACGTAATTCATACATATTGGGCATGTATGGATCCAGCATGGGCGTCAATGTTAAGAGAAATACAATAATTGGGCACCAAGAGGACTGGTTGAGGCCAGAACATCTCCTCTTTCCTCTTCTCCAGTGTATTTCGCACCACTGGGGAACACAGACACAAAACTAAGCAATAACATGAAGCCGTTTATGATCCAAGGGACTGTAACAAACTGGTCAACTTATTGAGGTGGTCAACATAAGGGACTAGGCCTACTGTACTGATACGTACATGTGGTGCACGTCTAGTCTACGAAAATTAGGTCAACTTAAGGAGGTGGTCAACTGTGGGAGTTCTAGTGCATAATCAAATGTTAAACCAATATATATTGGTAAGGTTGTTTTTATTTGTTTGTTTGTTTGTTTTTCTGAGACAGAGCCTCAAGCTATCCCCCTGGGTGGAGTGCCATGGCATCACAGCTCACAGCAACCTCAAGCGAGTCTCCTGCCTCTCCTCCCAAGTAGCTGAGACCACAGGCGCCCACCACAACGCCTGGCCATTTTTTGGTTGCAGCCATCGTTGTTGTTTTGGCGGGCCCAGGCTGGATTTGAACCCGCCACCTTAGGTGTATGTGGCTGGCGCCTTAGCCACTTGAGCCATAGGCGCTGAGCCTGTTTGTTTTTTGAGACAGAGTCTTACTTTGTCACCCCTAGAAGAGTGCCATGGCATCATAGCTCACAGCAACCTCAAACTCTTGGACTCAAGGGATTGTCTTGCCTCACATTACCAAGTAGCTGGAACTACAGGTGCCGACCACAACACCCAGCTATTTTCTTAGAGATTGGGTCTTGCTCTGGCTCATGTTGGTCTCGTACCTGAGCTCAGGCAATCCATCCACCTTTGCCTCCCAGAGTTCTGGGATTATAGGCATGAGCCACCACATCTGGCCTATTGTTAAGGTTTTGATATGCATTCAGAAAGAAAGAGGTCAGGATGGGCTGGAATGATCAGGCACACCTCGTGAAAGAAGGGGAACTTGAACAGAGTCCTAAAAGATATATCTGGTTTGTCTTAAGTCAGTGGTTCTCAACCCACAGACCCACAGGAACTATATTAAAGGGTCGCAGCATTAAGAAGGTTGAGAACCACTGGTCTATGTGGAAAGGATAGAGATGAGTGATTCAAGGAGGTAGCAACACAGAAATATTCAGAACTCAGGCTGGATGTGGTGCCTCATGTACATCCTAGCACTCTGGGAGGCCAAGGCAGGAGGATCCCTTGAGCTCAGGAGTTGAAGACCAGACTGTGCAAAAAAGAGAACCTATTTCTACTAAAAACAGAAAAATTAGCTATGCATTGTAGTGGGCACCTGTAGTCCCAGCTACTTGGGAGGCTGAGGCAAGATAATCACTTGAATTCTGGGAAGATGGCCAACTGGTAGCAACTCTCTGCAGAGGATCCTGAGCAGAGGAAGAAAAACTGGACAGAATCAGACTCTATGAAGCCAAAGGTGGGAAGCTAAACCAAGAAAGAATTTTAGCAAGCTATAACTCCAAGGAAGAGCATTCAAGAAAAAAAATTACAGGCAGTGCTTGTGGCTCAAAGGAGTAGGGTGCCGGCCCCATATGCTGGAGGTGGTGGGTTCAAATGTAGCCCAGGCCAAAAACTGCTTTAAAAAAAAAAAGAAAGAAAAAAGAAAACAAATTATAGGTACAAAGCCTATCTATTAGAGAATGGGAGACCCCTCCCCCAAGCAGGTGGCCTGCTGCAGGCTATCTGCCAATGAGCAGGGAACAAAAGACCTCTCATTTTACCTCGCTGGAGAGAGCCACTAAACTCCAGGTCTCCTTCTCTAGGGAGGTCCCACTTATGAACCTAGATACCACCCCACCAGGCATAAAATTGAACAAATATTTTCTCCTACAAGTCCAAACTCCCAGTCCACCTTTCCCCCTCACATGGCGGTCTGAAGTTCTGCCCCCTACAGAGCACAGAGTGTTTGGTCTTGTCCTGAGAGAGCTGGGCATAGTGTGGACCACCAGCCATCAGGACGGAATCTGTGACTAACAGGGAAGAAAAGAGGGTGTGGGAAAAAAGGGACACTTTGTAGGAGGAGGAATAGTCCCCTGGTCATGACTATGTCCAGCCAGTGGTGGTGTTGACCCTCGTTTTGGGCTGTGTCTGGAGGGACAGAGTGCAGAATCCCTGCTCTGATGGCACCCACAGCAGGAGAGGGGTTGCCCCATGTGGACTGAGTTTGGCAAACAAGGCTGGTCCCCAGTCCCTGATGGGCCTGCAAGCAGAGGTTTGCTAGGCGTGGTCCCCTGATTCCAACAGAACACTCGAGCAATGGCTTACTAGGTGTGAACCAAGACCTGAGGGCTGGGGTCTGGTACTCTGTCTCCAGCAGAGCTGATGAGCAGAGGCTTATAGGATGAGGACTGAGACCTGTGGGCGGAGTGTGGTGCCCTGACTCTAACAGAGCCTGTGAACAGAGGCCTGCCAGGCAGTGGACTGAGACTGGCAGGTGGGGGCATGGTCCCCTGACTCCACCTGGTCTGGCAAGCCGAGGCTAGCTGGGTGTGAAATGAGACCAGTGGGCGGGGGTGTGGCCCCTGGCTCCAACTGGGCCTGTGAGCAGAGAATTGGACAACAGTGTGGACTGAGTCTGGCAGGCAGAAGTGTAGATCTCTGGCTCCAATTGTGCTGTTGGAGATCCTTGAATCCCTCTCTGTTGAGCAGGGTTTATACCGCCTAATTTAATTGGATACAGATGTTTGTATCTCTCCACGGTCAACATTTAAACCTAATACTGTGGTTTCTTAGGATAGGGAAGAGGTTTGCCAATATCAAAACAGAGGTAGTTTGAGCTATCTCACCAAGTAGTTCCTCAGAGTCTCCAGCCAAAACTCTGAAAGGGGCCTTTGTAAGGTTGTAGGAGATAAGCCACAACTACAAAGCCTAGGGCTTTGGTAAGGGGCTATCTCTACTACCTAGGAACCACAATTTAATCTCACCCTACCAGTTCTAATAACCAAATGGTGGAAAATAAACATGGTGCAGACCCAACAGAAGAACTCTGGCAACATGAATAACCAGAGTAGATCAACTCCCCAAGAAATGACAAAGGAGATACAACTGAATATGCCATGTATAGACAAATGGCAGCAATGTCAGAAATAGAATTCAAAATATGGATTGCAAGTAAGATAAATAGAATGGAAGAAAAGATAGAAATTAAATTCCAAAGAGTAGTTCTAAAGTTGTCTCAAGGCTCGGCACCTGTGGCTCAAGTGACTAAGGCGCAGCCACGTACAGCCAAGGTGGTGGGTTCAAATCCAGCCTGGGCCCGCCAAACAACAATGATGGCTGCAACCAAAAAATAGCCAGGTATTATGGCAGAAGCCTGTGATCCTAGCTACTTGGGAGGCTGAGGCAGGAGACTCACTTGAGCCCAGGAGTTGGAGGTTGCTGTGAGCTGAGATGCCATGGCACTCTACCCAGGGGGACAGCTTGAGGCTCCTGTCTCAAAAAAAAAAAAAAAAAAAAAAGAAAGAAAAGATCAAACATTCATCTTAGAGGAATTCCTGAAGGAGAAGAAGATGGTCCTAAAGGTACAGATGCTCTACTCCAAGAGATTTTGGAGGAGAATTTCCTAAGCATTCCAAGAGATGCAGAACTTCAGATAGCAGACAGTTTCAGAACCCCAACTATTGGATGGTGCCTGTGGCTCAGTGGGTAGGGTGCCAGCCCCATATACCAAGGGTTTGTGTGTTCGACACCAGCCAAACTGCAACAAAAAAAATAGCTGGGTGTTGTGGCAGGCGCCTGTTGTCCCAGCTACTTGGGAGGCTGAGGCAAGAGAATCGCCTAAGCCCAGGAATTGGAGATTGCTATGAGCTGTGTGATGCCATGGCACTCTACTAAGGGTGATAAACTGAGACTCTGTCTCTACAAAAACAAAACAAAACAAAAAAACAAAAATATCTCCAACTATCACAGTGCAGGAAGATATCAAGTTATTCATATCTATTAGGGTCTGCTTTATGAATTGAGAAGCATTCTGGTAGGGTGCATAAATGTTAATTATCGAAACCTCTTAATGTTGAGTGTTCCCCTTGACAAATATATAGTGACCTTCCTTATATTTCTTTGTTAGTTTAAAGCCAATTGTATCTGCTACTAAAATTGCAGCCCCTCCTTTGGTTAGATCCTCCAAGAGGAAACTAAACACAGAAATATTTGACTTAAACCTGATCCTAGAACAAATGGACTTTACAGACCTCTACAGAACATTTCACCCTTATAAAACTGAATATACAATCTTCTCATCAGCTCACAGGTCATCCTCCAAAAAAGATTATATCCTAGGACACAAGTCTAACCTTGGCAAATTTAAAAGTATAGAAATTATTCCTTGTATCTTCTCAGGCCACTATGGAATAAAAGTTGAACTCAGGGCAGCGCCTATGGCTCAGTGAGTAGGGCACTGGCCCCATATACTGAGGGTGGCAAGTTCAAAACTGCGCCCGGCTGAACTGCAACCAAAAAATACCCAGGTGTTGTGGTGGGCGCCTGTAGTCCCAGCTACTCGTGAGGCTGAGGCAGAGAATTGCTTAAGCCCAGGAGCTGGAGGTTTCTGTGAGCTGTGTGGTGACACGGCACTCTACCAAAGGCAATAAAGTTAGACTCTGTCTCTACAAAAAAAAAAAGTTGAACTCAATAGCAACAGGAATCTTCACACTCAAACAAACTA